CTACTTAGGATACTGAGAGGCAAGGTTTTGGTGGGCTTGTTCCCTCTAGTGTTGTTGTGGGCTCTGGTCAAAACTCCCCTTTCCATTCCAAATAGGAAAGAACTAACTACATGAAGAAAGTGATTATGTAATCCAAAGAATTAATAAAATCAAGAAGATCTGATAGTAACTAAAATCAGAACTCTTCACCTCCCCAAGCTTTAAATAGTGACTGTCCTCAGTCACTTGCTTTAAGAAGCAATAATGAAGAGTAAGCATAAGGAGTGTGGGTAAGGATAAAAGGTATCAATCAAAGTAAGATAAAGAAACAAAGAGTGTGAGTCTCAAGTAAGAATGAGTGTCCATAAAAGAAAGGGGTATAAGGGAATGTTAGAGTAAAGAGAATGTAACCTGTACCAAGGCCAAAGGCTTGCCAGACCAATCCTCTCCAACTCTAACATAGATGGTAGTAGTAGTGAGTAGTGGGTTTCATCCAACAGCTGCTCAGGTCTCAACCTGACACTTCTGGTTCTGATCTGCTGGGTCTGTCAAGGTTAAAATCTGATTACTGTCCTTGAAATCCTTTGTCTCACACTCAGTTAATGCAAAGAACAGCCTCCCAATTATCATGTCAAACATTGTGTCCTTTACTACATGAACTGGCATCACTATTAATATTCCACCTACTGACACCTTGAGTCTTAGAATGACACCTTTGATCACAATTGATCCTGCATTTGCTGGCCTGAGGTTTGTCTGCACTTGCTCCTTTAGTACTCCCAAGTGTTTCTAAACGTCTTTGTGTATCACATTCATAACAGCTCCCTAGTCTAGTAAGCTCTCAGTCTCCAATTCATTGTTCAGCTTTACTGTTACTAGCCTGACTAGTACACTTCTGGCCTTGTTGTTACTGACTGGGGTGCCTATCCAACACTCCCTTGCTCAACACTACTCTGATCTGACAGCTTCTGACGTCCTCCTGTGTAATCTGCTCATACTTGGTATTCTTGCTAGGCTTGACTGATTCTCATTGTCTTAACACTTGATCCTTACAGATACACTTCTGACCTTGTTCATCTGGCTTACTACTGCCCTTTGCAACAGCCTCTGCTGCTCATCCATTGTACTATTCTCCCTCATCCTTACTGGTACACTTCCAGCCTTGTTTGCCACACTTGCTCCTCTGCTCTGCTCTCATTCTTGTTCTCCAGCTCAAATCCAACTCAATCTGATGTAATCCACTACTTTCCTGTACAATCTGCTTGTTCTCAGCTCTGCTGCTGGGCTTGACTGTGCTTTGTTGTCCTTGTATGTAATGCTTGTACCTGTGTGCTGATCTTCTCTACTGTTGGTCCTTGCTTCCTCACTTGTCTCTTCCTCCTCTACCTTCACAGGTCCACTTCTGGCCTTGTTCAGCATTTTGTCATGCATCTGAGTCATCCTCATAAGCTTAGCTGCATACTGGCACTTGAGCTCTAGAGCTATTGTAAACAACTCACAGTGTGTCAATGTAACAACACTGTCCATCATCTGGTCTAAGACCTACTTAATAATCTTGCTTGACTTGGCACTTTGCTTCAGTCTGACTTTGACTGGCTTTGTGTTAGCCTTCATGGTCCTTGCCTCCTCTCTTTGTCTCTTCACATTCCTCAAGTGTTCCTCCAACCTTGTCACCTCTGTATCCAAATCTGCTCTAAGAACAGCTTTGTGCTTTTCTCCCTCACTTACATTCAACCTATCTTTTGCTTTATTGATTGTGCCTACTGTGAACACAGGCTTGTCTTTGTAGTATTAGTCTATGTGCTCCTTCAATGTTGCTCCCTCTACACTGGCTGGCACAAATGCCTCACTCATTAACACAATCTTCTGCCCTAACCTTATACACTTCCCCCTCTGAGTGTACTTGCTCACAGTCCTACAGTCATGTACAAAATGTTCTTGCTTTCTACAAAAGTTGCAGGTCCTCTTGTGCTTCAGGTTGGATTTCACAGAATTGGTGGATTGGTCAGTTTTGTGTGCTTGATTCATCAGCATTTTCCTGGACTTGCTTGCTTTGTTGACCTAGGCTTGTAACTCTTCAAGCTTCCTCACAATCTTTGCATACTTGTCTCCTGCTTCTTTCTCTGGCTTCTCCTTTAGCAACATTACTGTCTAGTCTTGGCCTGCCTCTGTCTGCCCTGCTAGAAGAACATGGTCTGCTAGCCTGACTACATTAGTGAATTTGAACAGCTTGCTTGCATCCTTGTCCACATAGAGAATCTCCAGTTGTTACATTAGGTTTGTCCTCAGCATCCCTCTGATCCCTCTCCAGAACTCACAGTCTAACTTGTGTGCTGACATCTTCCCTTGCTCCTTCAAGTACTCTGCTTGCACCTGGAACTTGTAACAGTAGCAGCCAAACTCTGTCTGTACTGTCATTTCCTTCTCACTCTGCACATTGACTAGTTGTGTAATATTGGCTCTTGTGTAGCATTGACCATCAATCAGCTCTGGATAGAGCTTTCTGATCTCCTCTTTCACAATGCTCCAATTGCACACTCCTTTCTTCTTCAACTTGGGCACAGTAGCCTACAAACTGCTACAGCTTGTTACTACATAGTATGTCACTTGCTTGCACATCCACTTGGTGTCCTTCTGAAAGTTGGCAGCTAACATCTCAATGTCTTCAAAGAACTGCAGAAGTTCCTCAAGCTTGCTACTGTTGAAGTATGGTGCTTCTCTTGATCCTCTTCTCAGTAGCCACATCATTGTGCTTCTTGTGTGTCAAAACAGTTGGTTTGATTCAAAACAAGCTAGGCAAGGCCCTCAAGGCTAAGATCAAGACAAAAACAACCCAGACACTTTAGAACAGAGGCACCACCCCTCACAGTAGGCTCCAAAATGAGAGGCAAGGTTTTGGTGGGCTTGTTCCCTCTAGTGTTGTTGTGGGCTCTAGTCAAAACTCCCCTTTCCATTCCAAATAGGAAAGAACTAACTACATGAAGAAAGTGATTATGTAATCCAAAGAATTAATAAAATCAAGAAGATCTGATAGTAACTAAAATCAGAACTCTTCAATACATGTTCCAAACAATGATAGATTATTCCCTGGAAGGGAAGTAGGACAAGTTACTGGATTAAACAATGAGAACAAGGAATGGACAGTAGATTTGATTGAAACTCACACAGGACAAGGGACTACTGCTTTGTTCAAAGTACTATGGAAGTCCAGAGATCACACATGGCTACCCTATGATAAAATTGCACACCTTAAGGCATTAAAGGAATACTTAGACATACTTAGAATCGATTCTATTGATACACTAACTCTAGGAAAGGGAAAACTCAATACTGATGACCCTCAGGTTAGTATCAGTCTAGTAAAACATGAGGCAACCTTTCAAACACAATGCTACAGTATGGACATACAGGTAGACATACACAAAGGCTTTAAAAACTGTACATATAGTCACTTTACTGTGTATATCATGTTTACTACTCAAGAATCTGTTGCTCATACATTTGCATCTGCTTTTCTACAAGGCACAAATATGCCTCATCCTCCTCTACAACTCTTAGTTGGCCCTCAAGTGTAACCAATCATGTAGGATTAGGTTACTCACAACCACAGTACAAGTACTGACTATGTTTTCGATTGAGAGGAGCTCAAGGAGATTGCAGCTTTCTCTAGGGCTATCCACAACAATTCCCTCAACCCTACTATACAACTCCTGGAGCATTATCTTATTGTATTACACTTGTATAACTTCCATGTTCCTTCTCATACAAGACTGAGCCTGCTACCACTGTTCTAAGACTGTATTCAACATGCTAAGATGATGCAAGTGTCCCAGGACTTTGTATACTATAAGAACATGGCTTTGAACCAAGGTAAATGCACATATATTCTGTATTATATTATTACAAGCACATATACCTTACTGTTTTACTTAGGTGCAAAGTGTAGAGCTGAGTAAATCAACAATGGAACTGTTATATTCTACTCACACAACTGTAAACATTCTCAGATCAATTCACAATTGCCCTCAACGTCCACCAATCTTACTTCAGTACTTAATATGAGTGCTCTGAGCTCATTTGACACTCAAGGTATTACTCTACTGCCAAATCTGCCACTTTCCACTCAATCTGATGGCCATTCCAACCAATCTGCTGCAAGTTCCACCAGTTCCACCATAGAACATGTCCAAGCTGGACAGGAACACGTCCAGTCCACTACAGGACCAATCAAAGACACATCCATGGCTGTAGAGAATGTCCTAGCACAGCAGTACTGAACTTTGTAGTAAGTTACTAACGTTTTCTTTTGTTTTTGTGTTGTTATTTCGTTTATTCTGGTACTAACTCCCTTAGCATTTAGGACTAAATGCTGGAGGGCAAGTGTAACAATTGCACTACCTGTGCATTTGTACAACATGTGTTGTAGGTGCTTGTGAGTGTTTTCCTTTTTGTTTACTAGACTACCCTGTATCCTACTACATGTGTATACACATATATAAAGGGTTTTTGAGCTAAGGGTTAGGGGATTCTTTCTCCTTCTCAGCACTCAATTACTAGGTTATCCCAGTCAGTAGTTGAGTGTGCTGGTAAAGAGAGAATCTTCACATAAGGCTAGTATACCTATCCTTACACACAATCCTCTCTCCAACCCTGTACATACTCTCCTTCCCCACCTACTATTCTATACTTAACATTCTTGATAGACTCACACTGTGTGCCTTTACATTCTCTAGTACTGTCTATGACACCATTTCAAATAACAGAAGCAGTAGCCACTACTCACCCCTCCTAAGCTGAGTCTGTCCACACCTTGTACATTGCCTTCTCCCTTCAAGCCAGAATGTCCTAGAGATACACCTTGCAATTAATGACTCAGTTTACTACACCTCCTATTAGACACTGTAGATAGACAATAGATTGTACACACACAGACATGATTTTGTCTGTAGTCTGAATCAGCTTGTCCAACACTCTGTATCTCAATCTGTATACACTACTCACACTTGCTACACACTGTCACAGTGTGTCCATCTTTTCTTACTTGTTGCCACTTACTAATCACTCTAAACCTGTCTCACAGACAGAGCCTCACCCTTCACAATCTGCTCAACCTTTCAACTCACACATGTATGTGATTCTACTTGTAGGGACTGAGCAACAATCAAGGCCTGGTAACAAAGACTACATTGAACAGCCCAAGAATGTATTAATCCTTTATTGACACAAACTCCACTCACAAAAGAATGAGACAGAGGCTGCTGGTGGTGCAGGGATTGGGATTGTAGAAATAATGTATTATTTACTATCTTTTTGTATTCTATAATCAAATATAATTATATTTTATTAATTATTTAATACAAATTTGTAAGTAAAGCCAAAACAAGCTATTTGGATACTTGTAATGACTAGTATAAATTATAAGAGGATACTATACTGTTAAAATTTAATAAGTATATTCTAACATTATTATTTCAGGAGGTATGTTATAATCACTTGTATATCTTGACAATATGTACAATCATAATTAATATCAGTAATTTTAATAACTATTCTGGATTCTTGCTTTACTTGTACTAAATTATAATTGACTTGTGAAAACCACTATCTAAGTTATTATCACTTTTACAAAATTTACAAAAAGTAAAAAATATACTAGGTTATAATCTAATACAACTGTTAAGACTTTTTCGTGATGGACGCGTCTGTATTACCAAGGCCGGACTCGGATTCCTTAGCTTGGCTTTTCCTATTACGCATTCTTGCTTATGCGTGAGAACCGAATGCTGTGGAATAACTCACCCGAACCGGGAGTGCTTTGAAAGCATGTACGCCGATTAGGGAATAATCCCGCAGTAGTACTAAGTAGCTGGACCAGTAATTATTTTAGGTAGTCGCAGGAGTAGTCTAGAAACGTCGAACGCATATACAGTGAGGGTATATATTATATAAGGCAGCGGTGAAGTGCTGAAGCCCCAGCACCAGAGCTACACTCCAACAGCCCTCAAGTCGCAAACTCGTCAATCTCCTTCCACGTCTCTGTTTTCTTGACTTTATAATATGGCCGTAAAGATCGTCGGTGTTCCTGTCTCGACGTGCACCCGCGCAGTTACAGTTGCACTGAAAGAGATCAATGTCCCGTACGAGATCGAACCAGTCGATTTTGCCAATATGAAGTCCAACGAATACATCGAGCAAAAGCACCCCTTCGGCCAAATTCCTGTTCTTGTGAGTTAATTACGTGTGCTCTAGTATCGATTAAACCTTGAAACCGTATGTAATATAGGTCGAAGACGATGGCTTCAAGCTCTTCGAAAGCCGTGCGATCGCACGCTACTTGATTGCGAAACATGCACCAAACAGCAAGCTTATCCCCAAAGAGCCGAAGGCGAACGCGTTGTTTGAGCAAGCAATGTCAATTGAGAACAATGACTTCTATCCGTATGCATCCGGGTTGGCCGCAGAGAAGGTCTTCAAACCGTGAGTAACTCGCACGCACCTTTTCCGCTTAAACATATATTGATTGGTTGCATACAAGAATGCATGGTATGCAAGGGTCCGAGGAGCGCGCCACTGAATACGCCTCCACGCTGGAGAAGAAGCTAGAGGGATACGAACGTATCCTTAGCAAACAGAAGTATCTCGCTGGTAATGTAAGTCTGCTTAATCGTACAGGCGTGAGTATATACTTAATAAAATGGTTAGGATCTCACGCTTGCAGACCTTCTACACCTCCCGTATGGTTCCCTCATCACCGAGCAAATTGGGTTCAAGGGACTCCAGGCGACTCCTAACGTTGCATGTTGGTGGAACGACATTTCGTCTCGTGAGACCTGGAAGGCAGTCCAAGCTGAGATGCAGGCATACTTGGCAGCGCAAAAGAAGTAGTAAATCAATGACGTACTTGTAGCAAGGGAAGACTAGACCTGATGTCGAAATAAAACCACTTTTTACGTATGCAGAATATCTCGTAATGTAGATTGTATGTGCGTGCGCCACATCTCGTCGTACCATAGTGCGTTTGATATACATGGACCATGAAATCACCGGCGACCTTCCCACGCGACACCTGTACTGAAGAAGATTATTTAAGATCTAAAATGACATGCAAAGTGCCTTGCTTAAGTAAGGTAGACTTATGAGAAGCCCCTAGTCCAATACTCAATAAGGGAGGTGTAGATGAGAATGGTCTGCCGGAGATAAGAACTATACTGGTCTTGACGAGCCTATTACACACATTCGACGTCACGGTTTACCTGGAGTGACGCGCTCGATGCTGCAGTTATTGAGCATTGAAGGGACACTTTTGATTAGTAATACCCGCACTGGCAGAGCAAATTTCAAGGTCTGCAGTCCTGAAGCTGTGTAATGAAAACCTTGCCTGAGAAATAATGTTTTGTTCCGGACAGATTATGGCCCTATGGTCACCAGCCTGAAGAGCTTTGTGAAACTTATGTGTCGTACCAAAAGCCTTTGAGTTTTTGAACCGAGTTGTGCAACGTGTCATGTGACCCTGACGCGCTGATCGGACTGTAGTTGGATCTCCGACAAAACCCCGTCAGCATCTCGGTGCACCTGCACAAATTTATGCCACAAAAATCACACAATCATCTATTGCTTATCTTTATTACATACTAGTAAATAGTAAGGAAATGCAGTTTTGGCATTTCGACCTTTTATTTACAAGTCTCAGGAGAGAAGAGCTGTGTTGCAAAAAGCATTTCTTTGCCCAAATTTCGATTCTTGTACAATCATAACACTCATGTGTATGAAGTGCTTCATATTGGTTATATATACGTGATTCTATTTTGTTTGCCGTCCCCAGTCCGCATTCTTGATTACGTGTGCAAAACGAAAGCTTCTGGAAAATCCAACCGAATCCGAATCGGGAGTGATTTGAAAGCGCGTCGCGCAATAATCAGGTTAGGGAGGAAAGCAGAGGAAACAACTATACTAGGGTTACTTTAGGTACTTGCAGGACTCGTCTAGAAACGTCAATGCACATGCAGTGAGCATATAATAAGGCAGAACCAGGGCTACCTTTTAGCAACTCATAAGTCGCAAGATCAGCAATCCAGTATGACTTCGACTCTCGACTGTCTTGACTGGACAACATGGTCGTAAAGCTTATCGGTGCCTCTCCTTCTGTCTGTACTCATGGAGTCGCAGTTGCGCTGAAAGAGATCAACGTCCCGTACGAGATCCTGCTAGTCAACTTTGCTCATATGAAAAACAAGGACTTCTTAGAGCAAAAGCAAGCCTTCGGTCAAATTCCCGTCCTTGTGTGTCAACTCCTCTTGCTCCCGTGCTATATTTATTGTTTGATACTGATGGAACTGTATATGACTGTAGGTCGAGGACGAGGACTGCGGCTTCAAACTCTTCGAAAGCCGCGCAATTGCGCGTTACTTGATTGCGAAACACGCCCCAAATAGTAAGCTTATCCCAAAAGAGCCGAAGGCTAATGTGCTATTTGAACAAGCGATGTCAATTGAGAATAATGATTCTCAACGACTTCTATGCACATGCCGTCGGGTTGGCTTCAGAAAAGTTCTTCAAACCGTGAGTATAATATGCCCCGTTCTTGCTCAAACGTACATTCGCTCAACGATTTGAAGGATGCATGGTGTTAAAGGTTCCAATGAGCACACCGCCGAGTACGCCTCTACACTGGCAGAAAAAACTGGAGGGTTATGAGTGTATCCTTAGCAAGCAAAAGTACCTTACAGGTGATGTAAGTCTATTCATACCTCATAGGCGTGAAATATCAACTCAACGAATTAGGTAGGAGCTCACACTCACAGACCTTCTGCACCTCCCAATTGGTACTCTCATTACAGAGCAACTAGGCTTCAAGGACTCCAAGCAACTCCTAAGGTATCATGCTGGTGGAATGATATTTCATCTTGCAAGTCTTGGAAGGTGATCCAAGCAAAGGCACACACATTCTTGGCAGTGCAGAACAAATAGACTGCAGGTTGTGGATTGAGTACCTGTATGTAACACAGGAAGACTATTGAACTGAATTGATTTTTATACAATATTAATTAGCTTATCTCATAATGATACTTGTGACTATTTCTGTAAAATCACCTACAACCACCACCTTAATGCTGGATATGCATTTATTATGGCATCACTTGTGCCCTTCCTGTAATATATACTATGAGCAAGTTTGTTAGAGAAAGTGTCTTGTATAAGCCTATACCTATCAGATGTTCATATTGTAAGAAAAGAATAAGGCTCAAAAATGCTAATGTAAAGGAGAATCAGCCCTAATTTGAGACAAGGATAAAGAGAGTATATTTGCTTTGAGTACCCTACTGTCAGTAACAGTGTAGAGAGGACCTGAAGGCTCAGTAAGGGGACCCAGGCTACAACTATCCTACACAACAGAAATACAGAACACAAGCACCAGAACATAGTTGGAACTTATGGAACAGACAGAGAGAGAGAATGAGACAAGAGTAGAGTATATAGAGTAAGCCTAAGAGTACAGGACTACCTAGATTAGATAAGATCAAGACTATAGGACCAGTCTGATCTTGTACACCTATATATACTAAACTACACAAGAGTACTCAGGGAATAGTGAGCTACTAAGAATGGTGAGCTATAAAGAATGAAAGAAAGGAAGGTTAAAGATAAAGGTACAAAGAATGAAGGGATGGACAAAGGGTAGGAGACTATAGAATGAACAAAGAATGAAGGGGTGGTCAAAGGAACAGAATGATAAAGTAAGGAGGGGTAGTAGTAAGAGTCAGCCTGTATATAGTTTATAAACAGTACTCTTAAGGGACAGAAGTCCTGAGTTCTGGTACAGAAGGGTGTAGAACCCTCAGAACTAAAGGTGTAAGAGTAGAGAACTATAACATTACCCCCCCTCTAAAACCAATTGTCCTGATTAGTGAACATTAGGCTTAGTTAGTAGTTCAGACATAGGTCAGAACAGTAGGGCTTGGAAATCTGTAAGACTGAGTTTGTACAGAGTACTTGGATGAAGTTGATAGAAGTCTTAGATTACTTTAGAGGTATAAGTAAGGTTCTTAGCAGGTTCCTAAGTGTGTTCTTCAACTAGGTACCCTTTCTAGTAAACAAGGAACTTGAGCTTTCTATACACTAGCTTAGTATTTACTACATACTCTACTTTGTATTCTAGTTTGGAACTAATAAGTTCTGATAAAGGTAGTAGAGGTCTTTGTTATAAAGGAAAACCTAGATCATAGTACTAAGACAACAGAACCTTGTTAAACACAGGGTGTATGTACTTCTATATTGTCAGAAGTTAGAGTTTGTAGATAGAGGTACTAACCTTCTTTTTAATAATAAAGAGTCTGAAGCACTTGTTGTCTAACTTCTTTATTAAGCAATCTGTAGTCAGATTAGTAGCTTCTAGTATAACTTTGTTACCAGACTGGTAATCCTCAGCTATAGACCTCTTCCAATCATAGTTCTGCTTTATAACTTGTACTACCTTCTCTAAGAGAGCTTATGTGTCCTCCCTAGTCTTGTGTATCTGTTCTACAAAGTCTGTTACAGATTCAGAACTATTGTTTCAACTTGGAACTGTCCTCTGATACAGATGTCTTCTATAGTTAAGGAAGAACAGAGACTATCCTGTTGTAGAGTGTTACTAGTTATTATGTACAAATTCTGTCAGAGCTAACTATTCAGACCAATCTGACTACTAATAATTGATGAACATCTAGAGATAGAGTTCAATCTCCTGATTGACTCACTCAGTTTGACTATCAGTTTACAAGTAATATATAGTAGAAGGGTTCTCTTGAATTCTAAGAAGTGTATACAAGTTCTATATGAATTTTGACTTAAATTACAGTCTGTAATTGTGAATGAGCTTCCAAGAGAGTCTGTACAACTAGAAGACATGATCCTGATAAATGTGTACTATACCTTTAGAAGTGAGTTCTGTTCAGGTTGGAACTATATAGACTTGCTTAGAAAATCAGTCAACAATCATACAGATAGTATTATAACTCTAAGACTTAGGTAGTTTACTAATCAGGTTTACTAAGACTTCTTCCTAAGAGTGATCTAGGATCTAATACAGATGTAGGGAAGCCTGAACCCTTGTCTAGTAGGTCTTAGTCTGTTAGTACATATTATAACTAGTTATGTACTTTAGGATTTCCCTCTACATTCCTGGCTACTAGTAGTTCTGAGTAATGAGTTCCTGTGTTTTGTGTCAGCCAGAATGTTCTACAGTCAGATTGTTATAATGAGCTTAAACAATGTTCTCCTACAGCTTTCAATCCTTTAGAATGTACAGTCAGCCTTCCTAGTAAACCTGTCTATCCTTATCCTCCTCCTAGTTCCTAGCCTACTTCTCTAACTGCTTTACTATGACCTAGTCCTGTGTGTGTCTTAAAGCTTACTGTATACAAGTAACAAAGTCAACATTCTTAGATTCAAGTCAGATCTCTTAGATTGTCTTAGACACAAAACAGGAATTGTCTAAGAGAACAAGATTTTTATTGTTATTCTCCCCCCTTTTATAACCTGCTTGTCTTAAGAGTAAATTGGCTTTCATCATTTGTGTTCTAGATTTGTGAGTCAGTACAAAGTTGTAGTCCTACAGTTCTAACATCTAGCAGGCCTGACAGTAGTTAAGCTTCTGAGGTGCTTAGAAGTACTAGAGATTAAGGTGATCACTCTAAATCTCAAACTTTTGTACAGTACTAAGAAGATATTAACACTACTCCTCTAGGGAACAGACAATTGTAAGGAGTTCCTTATTGTAGATAGAGTAGTTCTGTTCTGTTACAGAAAGGGATTCTGATTAGAATACTATCAGACACTACTTTCTATTAATAAACTAGGACAGTACTACTCTATTTGTAAAGTCAGAAGAGTTAGCTTTAACTTAGAACTTGTTTACAACTGTTAGAACTACTAATATAAGCTTGCTAGTAATAGTCTACTTGAGAGACTCAAACACAGACTACTACTAATTACTCTATTACTAAGGAACATCTTTGCTAGTAAGATTGTGAAGGGGCTGGGTAATAGTACTAAAGCCTTAAATAAAGTATTAGTAGTAGTTTGTAAACTTAAGGAATGTTTGAACCTGTTTCAGGTTCTAAGATTGTAACTAGTTCCAAACTACAATTACCTTTGCTGGATCCATACAGACCTCTCCTCTACTAATTATAAAGCTCAGATAATCCACTGACTCCTGTGTAAAAGAACACTTTACTTCTTAGAGAAACAGTTTATTATTTTAGAGCTACTATAGAACTGCTCAGATTAGTTAGTAACAATACTTGACTGTCTGAGTGAAGATTAGAATGTTGTCTAGATACACACTAACATACTCTGAGTCAATCAGATCTGTAAGAATGTGATTCATAAATGACTGGAACATTGTAAGCAAGTTAGTTAGTCTAAAGAACATTATAGTCAGTTTGTACAGTCTGTAATTAGTTTGAAACACAGTCTTCTACTCATCTCTGTCTTGAATCTGAATGTTATTGTATCCTTATTAAACATTCAACTTAGTAAAAACCCTGGATGTATATGTCTTATTAATGAGCTCCTGAATCAGAGGGAGTAAGTACTTGTTCTTAACAGTACCTTTATTAAGGTAATAATAATCCTAGACTAGGTAGAGCTTCCTATCTTTCTTTTTAACAAAGAAGAAAGGGGAGGTCATAGAGGACTTTAAGGGTCAGATCTAGCTGTTCTGAAGATTTTCCTAAAGGAACTTGTCAAGCACCTCCTACTTATCTCTGTTAAGTAGATAGACCTTATAATCCTTAGGTTAGAAACTCTTAGTCAACTCAATTGTATAGTTCTAAAAGTAACATTCAGGAAGCTGGTCAAATTCCTCTTTACTAAAGACTTTAGGAAACTCTCAGACAAAATCTGGCAGGCTGAGTTTATGTGTGTTCTAGAGTAAAGTTGTTCTAAGAGGGTTCTGAACTGGTTCTGTCTCAGACATTCTTCAGATTGACTCTATTCTACCCTGACTAGAATATGTGTCTATATATCTATCCTAGTTAAAGAAGAACAACTAGTCACCTTTATTAGAACTGTTAGTAATATTAGAAGCATCTGTATCCACTTAGGACAGTAGTGTAAGATAGCTGTAAGACTTGAGACACTAATCAAATGTAAGTGTTTACTCTAACTAGTTAATAGTAGAGTTATAAGTCTTAAGCTATTTGAATTTAATAAAGATGTCTGTCTTTCTAAGGTTAGTAACTCTAAACTTAATACTTTCCTTATAATCCTGAATGGTCATCTATAGTTGAACAAACTTAGTAATCTAACTATTCTGGTTCAGGGTTCTGTCTGTATTATATACTAGGATTGAAAGTAGAACACATTAAGTAGGAAGGTAGTATTCCTATATAAAGGCCTTATTAATGTACAAACCAGTACATTCACTGTCTGCTAGAGCTATTGTTCAGATCTGGAGGGATCCTGAGAAGGGAGCTAAGAGGACAGGGACCTAAAGCTAGTGTTTATAATGTTCTCTAATAAATTACTACTTGTTCTAAAGGGAATGTACAGCTTGTGTAACCTTGTTATCTAAGAGAGTAAGTATATGTACTAACATTTCCTTATTAACCTCTCTCTTTCAACAAGGACAGACTCATGTCCTCAACTGTGAACTCAGTTAAGACTATCTCTACTTAATACTATAGACAAACTACTAAGTAGTAAACAAGGCTTAGTAATGTTCCAAATGTTCTGAGTTCTTAGAATGTAGAAGTAGTAGGTCAGATTGTACAGATTTAGACTCAGATAAAGTGTGAAGAGAAGAATCAAAAGAATCAGACAAAATAAGAGAACTATCTACTTTTGTTTTCAACTTTTTCCTTTTTAATAAATAATTTTGTTAATTTACTTTTTCTACTTTTTCTACTTTTCTTACTTTATTTACTTCTAATCCTACAGTGTCTATTGAATCAAAAGTGGCTGTTAAAAGATCCAAGTTATAGCTCTTCAGTACTATATTTACTGTTAGACCTCTATAAAATCCTAGAGTACATACTGTAGTAGACTGTATGTAGGCAACAGTAACAGGTAACTGTAGACCTGTTGTGTTGCTTATTTAGTGTAACGTAACAGGTAACAGAGTACTTGTTGCCAGTGCTCGACCTATGTAGCATAGTACAAAAAAATATGATATTTTTCATTTAAAACAAAAAAAAATCTAAGTCTAATTGCCTGAGTATGCTGTCTAGTGTCTAAATAATAAGAGCTGCCAACAGAATGTTGTTGAGTAAATTGCATAGACAAGCAGAAGGACCAGTTCACAAACCTCTAAGACTGGTTCTAAAGGACACTGTCGTTTGAGTAATACTATATATTCTCCTCCAGATTACTCAAGACAAAGCCTGGATGGTCAGGATTGTTAGAATACTCAATAGAATCCATTGTTCCATAGTAGTCATTAATAAACTCGTATTCTTTCCCAACATCAACTCCAACTGTCTCCTTAATGATTGAAGCAAGAGGTACTGTAGTATCATCATCAAATAAATCATTAGTATCTTCTTTGTTACTGTCTTCAGTACTATCAATAATAATCAGAAATTCCTGCCCAGTCCTATTAAAAATCTTGTCTTGTAGAGTTTTGTCCTGAGTAATATAATTGCACAATGCTGCTCTTACTTTGAGGTCTGAAAGCATAGAGCCAGATAAGTTCCATTCCTTAACAACACATTTCCTCCAGGCCTGAGTAATATATAAATGAAAGTTAGAAGACAATATACTGAACAAAATCAAAGATTCTTACCATTCTAATGATTTCATGCCCCTTTGGTGTATTCATGAAGTTCCATGCACTCAATACAGCCAATACTGTAGCATTGCATAGTACTTTGATCTTGTCTAATATTTCTACTTGTTCAAGAGGGATGCCCTTTGCTATCTGGCTGTAGTATTGCTGGATCATTCCTTGAAGTGCATGTTGTTTCAATTGGTGTTTGAGGATGCACTACAGACCAATGTCTGCTGGTTGGAATACAGGAGTGCCTTCACCATACAGAAGTTCAGCTCCAATGTCATTGAGAAATGTATTTGCACACTTACAGTTTGCAGGGACAAATAAAGGGATGATATACAGGTATTCTGATTGTAAGAAATCCAAGAAATCAGTACTCGTATGTACTAGATAGCAGTCCAAGTAAAGGACAGCACACTGGTCCCTTAGCAGGTATAGATTTGCTTCCAAGACTCTCTTATAGTGAGGCTTGTAAATGTTCTTCATGAACTGTAAGAGGTATTTAGTTTAAGAACAACAATTTACAACACATGTACACACTTCTTTCATTGTTTTCTGAGTGCTGAAGTGACTATCACACTAGTTTACACTTGCTACCACTGTAAATTGAATTCCAGCACTGAGAGCCTCTTCCATATTTGTAGAGTTCTTTTCTAGGAGGCTCTGGTCAGTTTTACCACCATAGACTTGCTAGAATAGCAGTAGTTTGCTATCAGCAGTACTAGATACACAAAGTGTGTATCCTTGCTTCTCATCCTTAGCTATGACGTTTACCTGCTTCAAACCTTTCTTTTCATAGGTGTACTTATAGCCAGGAATATATAGTACCCCTGTTTGATTCATATTAACAATTAACTTGAAAGAAAATGAGTGATATACTTAATAAACCATAGTACTGAAGCACTCACCAATGAGGGGATATCAAACTCTTTTACTACATGAACAAGACGAAAAAAAGCACACTCACACACCTCCTCCCAGTTCTTGGGTAGGTGTGCAGCAGCTCGAGTTGCTCGCCTTACTGTCATATTCAAAACCAATCCTAGAAACAACCTAATGTATTTCTATACAAACATGTACATCAGTTAGTGTGACAGAGAGACAATACTCAAGGCACATGTCCACTATTGTGATAGGGACAGACACATAAGATACATACCTCACTGTATTGGAAGTTTGATGTGAGGATATCCGGATTGCAAGCTTTAATGATGGCAAGCATTATAGAACAGCCAATTACTGCATTCAGTGGGTAACCTTTTGCACAAAAGCCCAGAAAGTTTGTTTTAATCTCCTCAACAAGCTCAGGGTACTTTGTAAGAGTACCAACACGTCCAGAACCCCCTAAGATACACTTGTTCTGGACATTGTAGATTGTTGTATCAGACCATTTTGTTCTACACAGTGCAATCCATTTCTGGACTGTACCCTTATTCAATCGATTGTACAGTGCCAGACTCTCTTTCTTCAAGAACTCAACAATTTTTGAGGGACTGAAGTCAACCTTTGGTGCAATACAATCAATTGCATCCCATAGGAATGGATGGTACCAATTTGTACACCTAGAAACACCTGGAACACGTCCCTGCTGCTTTCCTGTTTGCTGTGTCTTCCACTGTCCTGAAATTTCCTGGGATACCTCAGCAACAGTGTTATTGCATGGAAGAGCAGTTGGACTCTCTTGATGATCACTAGATACCTGTAATATAAGTCAATAAACAACTGTTAATGTACTTTAGTCAACAAAAGATACATACCTGACTACTTTCCTCTGTATCAAGTCTCTGACACTCCTCTCTCTTCCTCTTCTGATACTTAGCAACTCTTGCAGTGCTCAATTCCTTCTTGCAAGCTTTCTTTTCAGCTTTGTGTTCCTCATACAACTCGATCTTTCTCTTGCAGCTCTCTCAATCTCACTCATCCTCCTTTCTCTGTTGCTCAGCTGCCTCTTCCTTGGTACAAACTTGGAATTGCAGTTTTGTTTGGCACAGGTTCTTGCTTTGCACAGTAGGATTAGAATGCTAGGAGACAGGGTATGTGGAAGGTGAGGGTTGCACAAGTTGCAGAGAAGGTGTTGTCTCTGACATGCTGGATGATATGTTGAAGACACATTCAAGATCCTTAATTCACGCTTTTTTATCATTTTCATCTTTGTGTGGCCTGTTTGTAGCTCAGTGGCTCCTCACAATCTCAAAAGACAATCCACCTCTGTCTCATTTTGGCCATGGTTGCTTAATTTGGACCCTGTAACACATTACTCTTACTTTGTTACTTTCATTTTACCATTACACTTATATAATACATTAGTAAGCGTTGCCTACATACAGTCTGCTACAGTAGTCAGAGTCTAAAAGTTCTAAAGTAACTTCTGGATTTGTAGAAAAGGCTTCTTACTACAAATCCTACTTGTTACTCATTATTACTCTAATGACCTAACAGATATACTGTTACTTTTATAGGTAGTCCTTAATCTAGTACCCTAACTTTCTGTAGGTAAAGTATACTCCTTACTTTCAGGCTTCTCTAATGTCTATTAGAACAGATTGATTACAAATTACAGGTGGATTAATCTAAGAGCTTAGAACTGTTAGGGTTAAACATATGTACAGGTGTTCTGTACAGACTTAATGTATCTGAGCCACAGCTTAGTCAAAGGAAATGGCACACATCTTCTAATTAGTGTAAGTGATCAGTTCTAGTATTATTCTAAGAATCTTATTAACTAGTTCTGAGTAAAGAGCTTTTTCAAGTATTCTAATAAGAACATTATTAAACCTGAGTATGAATCCTACCTTCTAGGCTAGGATATCAAACTCCTGAAAGAAGGTATTAGTAGAATGTTTGTCCTGTTATAGAGACACAAGCTTGTTCTACACATTACATTTCTTATTCAGATTAATAAAGAAAGTACAGAGCTGCCTTATAAATTCTGAATACAACTTGTTGTTCTGAAGTCAAATCAGACTTCCAATCTAATGTTCTTCAATCCAGTTCTAGGCCTAAATAGCTGTATTGCCTTCCTTTATAAAGGAGAGGACAAATAAGATACAATCAAGGTCTGAGAATAGATTAGTTAAAGTAGTAGTTATGTATAGTTCAACTTAGTACTAGAAGTCCTTAAAGTGCTGCCTATTAAAGTCTGAAGGGTAGGCTACATAGTTAGTAAAGGCCTCTTAGATAAAGGTCTGTATGTATTAAGCTAGGTCTACTTATAACTACTAATCTAGTAGGACAGTAGGGGTAGTAGTCAGCTTAGAAGGGTCCATGTTTATACTATAAAGAGATTAACACTAAACTAAAAGGGGTAATGAATAGAAGAAGGGTAGTAAAAGTTTAAAAGGGTTTAGAAAGTTTAAAATTTAAAAATGTAAAAAGGTTAGAACAAAGAAAAGAGATTAATACAATAGTAAGTACTAATACTTAAAACATAGGAGAGTTGTAGAGTAGTAATAAGTAGTCTTAATCTGATGTTAGTAACAGTATAGAGGGGACCTAAAGGCTTAGTAAGGGGACTCAGGCTACAACTATCTTACACAACACAAATACAGAATGTAAGTACTAGAACATAGTTGAAACTTACAGAATAGACAGAGAGAGAGAATGAGACAAGAGTAGAGTATATAGAGTGAGCCTAAGAGTACAGGACTACCTAGAGTAGATAAGATCAAGACTATAGGACTAGTCTGATTTTGTATACTTATATATACTAAACTACACAAGAGTACTTAGAGAATAGTAAGCTACTAAGAATAGTAAGCTATAAAGAATGAAAGAAAGGAAGGTCAAAGATAAAGGTACAAAGAATGAAGGGATAGACAAAGAGTGGGAGACTATAGAATTAACAAAGAATGAAGGAGTAGTTAAAGGAACAGAATAATAAAGTAAGGAGGGGTAGTAGTAAGAGTCAGTCTGTATATAGTCTATAAATGTTAGATATACTTACTTTACTAGTCCTAATCCTTAGGAATAGTAACAGAATAGAGTATAGAGGGTAAGACTTGTAGACTTGTAGAGTAAGAGGGTAGAGGAGTCCTACTTTAGTCAAGCTGTAAGTGTAGCCTAGTAGGTTAGTAGTAAAGTACTTCCAAGTACTAAGTAACTTAAATTAATAAAACTATCTTTTAAGGGCCAAATTGGTCTCCTTATATACTTTTTACTAGAGTAATGTTACTCTAGTAACTTTAGTAACTCCCTTCACTGTTGTTCCTATAAAGTAGAGCTAGCTAATCCTTTAGACTGTATACTATACTAGTTTGTGTCTTCTATTAATCTGCTAACACTAGTTTGTGTCTTCTTGTATTCTAGATTAATCTTCTAATGACTCCTTTACTGTATTGTTATGTTTTCTATACTTCCTCTCATACTTCTAATGACTCCTTATGAGTCCTTCTGACTAGTTATACTGTGTAAGCTGTGTAATACTTTTTCCCATAAAGTAGAGCTTTCTATTGTTCTTATAACTCTGTCTGACTCAACCTATACTTTCTATACACTGGTTTGTAATACACTTTCTCATAAGATAGAGTATTATGACTTCTAATGACTCCTTATAACTTCTATAATATAAAAGGCTGTACTTCTATACTGCCCCTAGAACTTACAACCAAAGTTCTAGACTGTCTTGTATATACTCTAGAACTGACAACTAATGTTCTAGATCTTTCCCTAAGTCTTCTTCAATAGACTTAGTTTAGAAGACAATTATTCTTATTAACTTCTAACCTTATCTTTGTGCTTCTGTATTCAATCATAGAACTTACAACTAAAGTTCTAGATTGTCTCATGTATTCCTTATGTTGTTCTCATATAGTCCTTATGTTTATAACTTTATTACTTTCCTATCTATATGAGCAAAGTGTATAAAGGAGGCTACTTTCCTATAGTCTCTCCTTAGAGCTCTCAGTTCCCTTTCCTTCACTAGTACTAGTCCTCCTCAAGTATAGAGCTTCAGAGTATTAGCTCTAACTCTTTACTAGCTTTAATAGTCCTTTGTCTTTGTACAAAGTGTTTCTAGCTAGCTATATAGTTTCTCCTCAAGTAAGTATAATATTTTCCTTTTATCTCTTCAGGTTTTTTCTTAGTCTTTTCCTTTATACTTCTTACTCTAAACACTATACTCTTTCCAGATCCCCTCTCTATATAAGTATTCTAAATGACTTGTCTTTGGTTGAGGTTATTAAGTAATACTGTACTAGAGTATGTGTTTAACCTTAGAGAGATAAAGACCTTATCTACAGGTTTTGTTACCTTTTCCTAACTGACTTAGTACCTACTCCTTCCTGTCCCCTCTCTCTACTAATAGATTGATCACTCATTAGTAATAATTAAAGGTTTATAATGCTGAGCTAGAGTTCTTACTAAGTAGGACAACAAAGGTAGCCTAGTTGATCTGGCCAATCTTTAAACTTGTGACTAATAGAGTTTTGTATATAAACTACTTGGTTCCAAGTCTTGAGTTAAGCTTTTCCTAAACTCAGTTACTGTATTTTACAATTCCTAACATCCAGTCCCTTCTAAGTAATACTTTCTTGAACAGTATTACTACTATTGTAAAATACTTACTTTATAATTAATTGGGCTAGGATTTAATTTTGAGTAGGATTTGTGTCCTTCCCCCCTTTTCTGTTACCTTTGTTTTGTGTATCCTATACTAGTATCTTTTCCTTTAGATACTTTACTTTTTATAGTCTGCCTCTTTTGTATTCTGTATTAAAGTGAATATAAATGCCTTTTCCTTTCATTTCAGCTAATTTTATAGCCTACTTTCATGGCTGAAAAGTAAGAGCTACACTTGTAAGTATAGTTTTCCTTTTAATAGTTGTAACTAATTAACTTATTAAAAGGGCTTCTACCTTTGCCTTAGTTGCTATAATTCTGCTTTCAGTGTCAGTTTACAATATAGACTAATGTGTCCTCTACCTCCCAGTTCTTTACTAGCTAGCTCTAGCTTGACTAGTATTCAGACTCTCTGACTGAAATAGTACACTCTAAAGACTAAATTTAACTGGTAGGAAGTTATTCCCTCTTGTTTGTAGTTTCCAGTTTAGTTACCCTCTTTAGTTTTACTTCTATTCAGAAGGTGTGTATAGAGCACCTTATTATATGTCCTTATGAATGTGGAGGAGACATATAATATACTAATACCCTTTTTATCCTTGTATTAGGAGTAATTTTCTGATTTACTCAAATTATGTTGTTATAACAATCTAGTACTTCAGATTTGTTATAAGAATAGTTTAATGTCTTGTTCAGAACATTACTTACTCAGTTAAGAGCTACTATACTATAATAATCTCTTTTCCCTTAGATTTATTATAGGAATAGTTTAATGTCATATTCAGGACCCTATTCTATTATACCTTTTTACTCTATCCAGAGTCTGTTATCTCCTCTTATAGGAGTGACTCCCTTTTTGATAGTTTCCCTCAAGAAATTCTTGTCTTCCTCTCTTTTTACTTTAAGGAAGTAACTACT